AAAAAAAAAAAAAAAAAAAAAAACCCTTTGTATTATTAGCACTTTTATCAGATGGGGATGCTACCCAAAAACTTAAATTACTACTTGTTTCAGTACAGGCTCTCATATGACATGTTGCCTTTCCACAAAAAAAAAAAAGTTAAAATTGAACTCCAAGCAAAAGACCCATTTCAAGTGGAAAAAAATGGCTTTGATACTTTCAATTTGGCACTATTCATTGAAAGAAAGCAGTAAAAGGCATGAAGTTTTCTGAAATGAGAACACAAATATTGGCACAAAATGTTGCAAGAATACTTTTACCTGTTTTGAACAGCTAGAGAAAAAATGCTATATGCCAATGAAAGTGTTTGGAAAGTTTTTATAGGAAGAATATAACTCCAGATGGAACTTGTTGATGCAATAATTCTCAACCATGAGAACTTTCTGAGGGTGTTGTGGGGTGCCACAGAATATTAGATGTGCAAATGCCTACTTCACAGAGTAATCAATACTGAGAAAAGCAGTTCTGACCTGTCATGATCTCAATTCCTTGCAACAGAAGAATTGCTGTATTATTTTTCCATAGGCCATTAGCAAGTGAAAACTAAGAGGTATCCTTTTTCCAGGGATTCCTTGAGTCTAAAAATGCTGAGAACCACTGTAGTAGGGAATTATGAAAGGGAACTTGTTTTGCAAAAAGATTGCTATTTTTAAATAACTTAAGTGATTGTCAGTTTTGCTCTCTTCTCTACATGAGAGAGAGCCTGATAATAATGGGTATGCCAGATAATGCTTCTTTTAATATGACACTTAGATGGTATATGAAATATTATGAAGACCATTTGAAATGGTAATACGGGAGTTCTGCATACCATTCTTATTCATGCATATCCATGCTTTCCCTTTCTAGACGGGTGCTCTAGTTCACAGTTATCGGGGAACAGGAGGGATTTTTGAGGTTTGCTGGAATGCAGCAGGAGACAAAGTTGGAGCGAGTGCTTCAGATGGTTCAGTAAGTATATAAGAACAGTCTCTGATGAAGGTTACATTTCAGCATGTTTTAGTTAGCTGGATAAGTAGAAAGGCTGTTGGCTAATAAAGAGAAATTTTGCTCATTCTCATAAATAGTAAATCCATATCACTGGCTTCTAAAATGTAACGTGAATGCAGCAGAAAAATATGCTTGTTTCTGCTTAAGCTGACATTAGAAATTAGAACAAGAATGGGTGATAGGCGTGTGGTCCCAAGGGTGTTGTGAAGCTTAGGATATTACCTGTCACATGCTCAGCATGAAAGTAAAAATGTGAAGTATTATGATTTTAAGCTGCAGACACCATAAACCAATGTGTTCCTTGGGGCAGCTCTGGCTCCAGGGGAAACATCAGCAGTGGCCCTGATTCTGGATCAGCTGGGGCAGGCCAAAACCAGTGGAAGCAGCTCTGGGGCTGAGACCTAAGCTAAACCTGGGGGGAGGGGAGGCAGGCTGAGGGGTCACCCTGCACTCTCCCCACCACAGGTTCTCCCCCATGTACCTCCCATCCCCACTGTGGATCCCCCCCATGCGTCCCCTCCTCCCCCCTGATCTCCCCTATGCACTCCACCCTCACCATATGGTCTCCCCAGCACTCCCCCAACACATGCCCCCTGCTGTCATTGCACAAGCCACCCTGCCCCCAAAATATTAATTTGTTGTTCTTTTCATATTAATGTGTGAAACATTTGCAGTCAATGATTGGCTGTTCACAAGGAAAAAAATCGCACAATCTCTTCATCCTCCTTCCGTCCTAAAGAGAAAGCACAGTAAATGAGAGGGTAGGGGGAAAGCTGGTGCTCCTGGTACCAAGAAGCAGCAAAATTAAGTATCTCCTATTTAAATCTTTCTGTATGGTGGGCAGTAATGCTTCAGGTATTTGAGGCATTTGATATAATAAATAAGAGTAACTTCTGGAAAGGCAAAACAGGAAACGAGCAGCTTTTTGAGTATGCGAAAAAAAGAAAAGAAAACACATTCTGGAGACTTCATCTCAGTTAAAAGCTTTATATAGCCTTTGTCATACAAAAGTTGGTAAAATCCCAGCATCCTGTTGTTGCTACGAGGTCAGAAGCTCTTGTTATCTACCTAGAAAGTATAGATTGGACATTTACTTATCCTAGAAAAGAGACTGCATATCCTCATTCTTAGGTATACAGTTCATTTTCTGTTACGTTCACAAAGTGTGTGATGCTGATTTTCATTTTCACGTTTGGTAAGAATGTAATCTTGAGCTCTCTCTGTTGAGGTTTGTTAGTGAAATGATGCATTTAAAGCCACCACAGCCTTCCCACTGATCCAAGGCTAGTTATACCATAAACTGCTAATAAGTGAAGGAATGGAAGGTCCTCATGTACCATATGATGAGTGCAAATGTAGTTTACATGTGATGATATCCTTCTGATAGCTGTAGGCTCAGTTTTCTGACACAAGGGAACTGCAAGGTGTAGCAATTGAGCCATCCTTTGATAAGATTGTAATAGGAAATTGCACGCAATTAGATGCCACCTTCTAGGCTGTTTCAGTCTCTTTAATTAAATCCACGTTGCGGAAAAATAATAAAATTTTACTGTTCTTTACAAACTGGACCCCAAGAGATTCCTTGGCTTTTAGCTACCAAAGAACAGGTGGAAAAGTACACCTATTTTGTTACTGTGGGGAGTATAGATAGATATATGTAGATATATCTATCTATCTATCTATCTGTCTATCTGATGGTCAGATTAGGCATTGTTTCTGAATGAATTGTTTTTGATAATTAAAACCACTTTGATCTTTCCACCCCCTGCAAATCTGGATAAGCCAGATAAAACCGTTGATTAACATTGTGTGCCTTCTCAAGTTTATAACTTGTCCAGTGTAAATGTGGACCTTTTACCTTTTGTGAAAGCAATCATTTTTACTGCTTCTTTGGTCTTATCACTGTAGTTCTTATTGTTATATGTACCACATTACAGAAACACTCAGAAGCCCCAAACTGGCCTTATTGTGCTAGAAACTGGACAACCATAGGAAAAAATAGATTCTGCTACAAAAAACTAGCTTTCGGTTCACCAGAGACTGGATGAACTGTAGGATGTGGGAGAAAGGAATAGAAGACAAGGGTGGCAGTGTTAAGAACACGGGACTGCATATATATTAGCACAGTACAATTTTACCAGTTTTCAGCAACTAGCTACAAACACAGCATGCATCCCTGCTATTGAGAACATTGTCTTTTCACCTAAGCATAATCCCCTAAATTCTGTTCTCAAGCAATGTGCAGCATGTAGGAGACGAAACCTCAGTGAGAGGTAAAGAAATGTAGACTTCTGAGCAGTAACAGATCCAAGAACAGGGTGCAAGGAGCATGCCTTCTCTCCCCTTTGGCCTCATCAGCATGGGTTGCTGTAAAAGCTCTGTGTGAGCAGTGAGCTCTGAGCTCTCCAGCTGATTGGGGCAGGGTTTGGCCAGAGGCCCTGCTTTCCACATGGCTTCAAAATCCTAGAAGGAGAACGCTGTTGCTGTTTGCCATGCTCCACTCTTCCCTGCCCCGCTGAATTTGGTAGCAGGGGAAAGGAGGAGGCGAGTGGTAGCAGCCGTGTTCATCCCTTGGGTTCCAGACCTGTGCAAAAGCAGAGGCTCCATCCAGACCCTGTGCCCACACAGTCAAAGGGAGGTGCAAACATGCTCCTGCATCCTCCCCACCCACCCCCAATTTGCCTTTGTGTCTGAGGCCCTTTGCTTTTGTCTAAGGTACTCACAGTTCAGAAACACTGCAAATTCTTCACCATGCCCCCCACCCCCCTTGTCTCCAAAAAAAAATAAGTCTGAGGGTTGACTTGCACAACCAAGATGATATTTTTTGACCTTGTATCACATGTAGAATTGTAGAGATGTAAAACCTGTGTACCGTATGCATTTCTGTATACGTTTTTTTTTCTTACAGGTTTGTGTATTAGACCTACGGAAATAGCGCTACTAGTTGGAAGCCATGGACCGACTATGAATGTGTACATAGCCAAAATGACTGTCCCTGACCCATGTACTGCTATAGTCCCAATTGAACCATGGCCAGTCCACTACAGCCAAACCTACAAAAAAATATATACATATACTGTATATAAAAAATAAATAAATAAAGATTACACCCTGAAGAGGATGACAGAGTTTTGTCACAGCTTGTGAATCCTGTTCACCAAGTGCTGGAATCTGCTGTGCCCCAAAATAACATTTACAAGTTTTGGATCTGAAAAACAGAAGAGAGAGAGAGAAATCTACCATACAAAGCAGACCCATACATGTACCAAATTCAGAAGATACTAATGGCAGCCTTTATTCCCCCCGCCCCCCCTTTTTTTAAATCCATGGCCACAATGGACTGTGGGGTTTTGTTTGTCTTTTCCTTTTTCCTTTTTCTTCTCGGTAGTTGAGCAGTTTGCGTGTACAGAGAAAATGGACTTACATAAACCTGCAGCAGTAGTTTGTTCTTTGCTTTTAAACATTGGGTATTTTTGTTTTGGTTAAGTTTATGAATGCATGAAGTAAAGGAATGAATCTGTTTCCTGTTTATATTTTTCACCTTGAAACAAAAGATCCTTTTCTAAAAATATTGGAACGCGTTCGTTAAAGGGAGAGAGCAAACCTGAGGATATTTGGTACATTCTGTGGCTCTCGGAGCACAATTTTCAGGTGGAAGGAGGGTGGAAAATGGGTTACTGGGGAGAGAAGAAAAATAAACCCACCTCTGAGACATGAAGCATCATGTCCTGTTAATCTATGAAGTACATCGGTAATGGGGTAACGCTATGGTTTTTACTGGTGACATGGCTGAAATGCAGTAGTTTCTTATTTGGGACATAATTCTGCCAAACTGAAGAATTAGAAGGGCACAAAAAATAAAGAAAAATAATACAGGGATGCAAAAAGCAAAATGAAGCATCTTCTGTTGCTTTGAGACCATAGCTGAATTATGGTTAAATTGTGCACTATTGTGAAAAGGAGCAAAATATAGTTTTTGGGGGGTTTTGTTCTTTAGTTTTTGTTTTTTAAGAGATTCAAATCTTTCTGGACAAGGGTTCATGCCACAGCTTCTACAAGAGTTATCCATCATTGTTAGTAGGAGCTCAGATGTGTGATTTAACCGAATTCCAGTATTAAAAGTATCTCATGCGATTTTCTTTATTTAAAAAAAAAAAAAAGACTTTGGCATATATTTGATAACACTGCCATTAAAAGGCAAAATGTTTACTACCTTAGACTGAAAAGTATCTTAAACAGAGGACTTGCTTCAAGTTTATTTTAATAGCAGTGATTCAGCTTATTTAAAAGATGAATACTTGCACTAATTCCCCTGCTGCTCCAGTCCTGCAGTTTGTTGTATCCTGTGACTACATTTTTTCCAAATATAAGGTAGATGTAAGCTGCTATTTTTTTAATAATCACTACTATATAGTGTCTTTTACTCTGTTTACAATATCAAGTATTTTTCTTACAGCAACAGATGTAAATGGCAAACCTTTTTCTGCTCATGTGATTAAAAGTATACAGATAGTGTTTTTTATTTGTAAATGATAGCATGAGGTCGTGTTTATGCCTATGTGTAGTTGAAAAGGTTGCATCACGTTTCCAAGAGTGTACATTTATAAAAAGAGAGGTTGTCAAATTTATGTCACAAACATTTTACCTAAGGAATGGTTTATATTATAGAGCTTTGCAAAGTTACTGATTTTATAACACTATTTGGATCACGAATAATTTTGTGGCTTATGATCTCTAAACTTTAACCTGTTTGTTTGTTTCTTTCTTTTTTTTTTTTTTCCTTTTTTCCCCCTTAGTTAAGTGTGCATTGATTTAACCCAGATAATGCAACTTTGACATTTTAACAATTGTTCTTTCGGCATTGATTTCTGCTGTTTCCAGAGTATAACATGACTTGAAGCAAGTCTGAGTTTGGCTAAGGTAGGGTAGCAGTTTGCCAGTGGTAAAGAGAATACATTTAATTCCACAATACATTCTGAGTCCCCCATTTGTTATTATTGGGGAATATAATACTGTAATACGCAGCATTTAAAAACAAAAAAAAAAAAATCATATCCATAAAGGCAGTCATCCATTAGGGTTCTGTGCCAGCTATTGGGTTTTGGAACATATTACAGATGTTTAGAACAATTACCTTGTGTTACAATATGTAGGAAACCTAATATACTGAGTGTCTGGCACTTGAAATATTGCTTTTATTGCTGGAGGTCCATGACTGTGGCTGACCTCTGTCATTATTAAGAAAAAATTAAAATAAAAAAAAAAATCTGTGCAATAATTTTAAACTGTGCTCCCAGGAATAGACACAAACGTTTTGAGTATGTTTAAGCTGCATTTTTCCTTTAGCAATGCATTTGTCAATTGCACTGAATTTTAAATCTGAAAGTCAGAGGTGATTATTGAAAGTACTTTTGTATTTTAATACGGACAGTTTTATTCATTTTCACAAAAGTTATTGGATAATCGTTTCAGCCAATTTAAAAACACGTGGTGGAATTCTGTGACATAGCTACAAACCCATACAGCCATGTTTCATGATATTGACCGTTTCTTTTATCTCTATCTTCAGCGGCTTAGTTGGAATTCTGTTAGTTAAGCATCGTATCTCATGTACGCAAGTAGAAAAAACAGCTTTGTTAGCTCAGGACCCTGGGTTTTTATGTGCTTGAAACGCTTCAAGAACATGAGTTTTGTAGGCTTGGGAGAGTCTGGACATGTGGGCCAGACCTTGAGCTGGAGTTAATCAACAATATTCCATCGCCGCAGGGTTCTTTGGATTTACACCAGCTGGGGTTTCTGGCCAATAGATTTTTTTTTTTTTTTTGCTGCTGCTGTTGTTTTTTTCAGCGTGCCACAGTGCTGCTTCTGCTCTGCACAAACCTCTTCTCGCCCCATGTTCTAGGCAGCGTTAGCCCCGTGCATGCGACATGTTACATTCTGTGGAATATATGAAGTAAGAAAGAGAACTGTGATTCTTAGACTTTTTTTTTTTTACTGCTGAGACCTGAGATTCAGTAGAGTGAACTAGGTTGTCTTCACTGCTCCCTTTTGTTTTTACCAAATATCAATAAGACCCTAATTTTGAAAAGAATGTGTGCTTTGAGTAGCCCTACTAAATCAAGAGACTTGCTTTCTGAGATTGAGAGAGAAAAACATGCAGACGTGCTTGCATGTATTTGTAAGTCAACTTGATCTCCAGTATGGTAGGTTAGCGGGCAGAATGTACAAGTGTGGGGGACAGGACAAAATTCTGGGCTCCCAATTAACAACCAGATAAGGAATAGCTTGCTGTCATGTTATCACTTTTTTTTTTTAATGCATCAACTTCAGGTTCTCTTGTTTCTCATTTCTGTATAATTAGTTCCAGATTTTGCCCTTTCTGTTTTTACTTTCGTTTTTCTGCATGGGCTTAAATTGATGCAAAGATCTTCTACCCTTGACTTTCTAGTTTAGTTAGGAAACTAAGCCCTTCACTTTTTGTGGTGTTGGTAATTCAGTTTGTTTGGAGACTACGACTGTGCAGGATTACTGGGTGCGTCTGGTGTAGGATTAGATTCTGGTATGAAACACTAAAAGTGCCTCTTTTTCTGGGTTGGGGGGAGGTGATACTTATCTGAGTTAGAATGACGTAATCGTTGAAACATGTTTCTTGATTTTATGACACTTTATATCTTGAGAGAAAGGCCAAAGATTCGTACCAGTTTTAATTGTCGTGGTTTTTTTTAAAGCACTCCTTTTTCCTTACACTGCTTACCTCATGCTAGGGTATTTTATGAGACATTGCTAACTTTAGAATAGTCTCTGTGTTGGGAAGAATGGCAGGTACAATAGGATTCTTGTGCCAGTTTGTCTTGGCTGTAGACCAGTCTTAATGGCTGATGCATTTATTTCTTTTGTATGAAGGAACGTCATGAAAACTGGGCTTTTGGGCTTGTAAATAAAAGGCTGTGTGTTCAGCAAAACGGACCTTTTGGGCTCAGTTGTCCAATCTTTACTCAGTCAGAAATCCCATTGACTTTCACCGCAGGAAGAACTTTGTCCAAGTAAATGTTGGAGGATTGGAGCCGTGTAATACTGTATGGTGTGCCACGTAGGTACAGTGGGCCAAATCAAACTTGGGAAGACAGCTGTTGACTTGAGTGGCAGTTGTTGCCTGAGTGAGCCCTTTCAGGATTCAGCCCAGTGCTCCTGTAACTTGGCAAGCAATAGATTTGTACAGACCTCTTACTACAGAAAATGCTTGTAGAGTGTTTCCATAATAGGATCATTCACACGCTTCTCCAGAAGTCCGCAGAAAGTAGAAGCAACATTGTGGCACGTTGGAAGCAGGCTTGGGTTGGAAGACAGCAGTAAAACTCCATCAAGATCCTTGGCATTTTCCCTAATGAGGAGAGAGATGTGGAATAGCCTTCACTTCCTCCTCTAGTGTGAGCTCTGAAATATTGCATCCGATAAAAGTGACTTTCTCCCACATGAATCTGCTTGAAGGCAGACAAAACAACCAGAAGACGCACCATTTCTTACACATTGAAGGTATAGTGTTAATTGTGCTTCAGATCAGTAGTTTTGAAGAGGTACAGCATTCTCTTCCTCAGCCTTCAAGTTTCCAGCGTTGAGGCTTGATGATAACTTGGGGCATGGCTTTTTTTTTCTTTTCTTTTTTTAAATAAAAACACATTTTTACTTCATAATGGTTTTTGGCATTTGTGGATTAATTCAGGAAAACAGTCTGCATGTTGTTGCTAGTCCAGTGTACTTTGCAATCTTGTTCCTCAACAGACTGCAGTGTGCAGATCAGTAATCCTAGAACAAAGAAGTAATTTTTTTCTCTCTCTCCTGACATTGACATTGTAGTTGTAATGGTTTAATTTTGAGGTTACAAATCCTTTGGGTCTAATTCTGTGAGCCTACTTATAGCACTGGATTAAAATGTCTGCATCATTTCTTCAGTTATCCAGTTAAATTACAACTGTTGTAAAAGTGTAAACCAGCCCATGACAGTTTTTTGTACTTGTTTAAAGGACTTTTATTGTTCAGTTTTCATGATTATTGTCTAAAGAAGACTGATATAGATGTTCTATACTGTCCTGGACCATGTTAATTACACTTTATGATGTATTTTGGTTCTACATCAGAATGATTTGTCCCCAGAGCCCTTATATCCCTTCTAGGCACATTTTCTGTTGCAGTTTCCCTTTGCATTGTATTGCTCTGACAACTGTAATTTGAATCAGATCTGAAAGAGGTCCAGAATAAAATATATTTTGATATTATGTTGGCTGTATGTTCTATAAAAGTGATTGTAAATGTTAAATAACAGGATATTTACACATGGTTAGTGTGGAAAAAGGGGGAAGGAATGGTCAGTTATTTCCACATCTATTTTAGCACATTTTCATTGTTTCTTCTACGGAAATTAATTTAAAGTAGTACTCTGTGCAATGTCATGCCCTTAGCAAAGCTATAGCAGCAGTTGTTCAATTACTTTTATTCAGCAAGGCACTTAAGCACATCAGTAGAACTGTCGAAACTAATGTTTCTCATGTGCTTAAAGTAACGCACAGGCTTAACTACCTTGCTGAACCTCAGCTTTCATGTAAATTTACACATTTGCTTTTTACACGCCTTTACCGCAATGTGCATTGTAAGTGTAGTGCCTTCCAATCAGTCTTGTAGGCTTGGGGAAAGGTAATAAGAGATTATGTAGTTCCATTTGACATTCATAGCCCCACAGCTGAGATGTACAGAGCTACTTCCTCACTTTTTCTCCCATAAAGGGGAGTTTCACTCTGAAGAGCTCCATTCTTATTCAGTGGTTCAAGTTTGATTATACAGAAGAATTTTATGCCTGCTGTTGTATTTTAGACACTTGAAACAATTTGAGATTACATGTGAGATAATATGCATCCATCTGTACATAATGAAGCTATAATTCCTTCAGGATTTTAGGTGATATCATAAACCAAGAGAGGGACACTAGATTGCTTTTTCAATGTCACTAGAGCTCAGAAATGGAATTATAGCTCAGTTATAGAGGTCTGTGTATTTGCTATCACACGCTTTAACAAGTCATGATTTTCAGTCTCTATTTTACTAATCAAATTAATTTAATGTGTATTATCAAAATCTGTCGCCTTTGTGTTTTAACATGTATAAAGTTCTTCAGGCAAAATTCTAGTGAATGCATTAAAATCAAAGAGGAGAGTATTTTCTTTAAGTATAAACCAGTCTTGACTCTTACCCACACTAGTGTATGAATTCTTCTTGGGACTTTTCTATTATCACCTGAACATCATGAAAGCAGGACTTATCAATTAGGATCAGTGTCAGTCATTTTAAGGCTAGTTAGTAGTAACTTAAATTACAACTCAAACTGTTTGGATTTTACTCACAGGAGCATTGAGGCTGAAGGATCATTGTGTTAGATGCTGCACAAAGCCATACAGTGTCATAAATGCACCCCCAAAAATAGGAGTAGCGACTTATGACTTAAAAATTAGGGGGGAAGGAGTTGTTGGGCAGGAAAGTGGTGATGGGGATCTACTTGGTTACATGGTTGAAAAATGTACCAGCCTTAATGGTTCCAAATGAAGTTAAGGATAGTAAGATCTGGGTGAAAGTCAAGCTGTGAGAGAGCGTGGCCAGTTCAAGGGACATTAAGCTGTGGGCACCTGGGGCATTTTTCAACATGCTCTGGGGGCTGAAGGGTGAGCACTTTAACTAGAGTGCCTCTGAGAGCTGCTCTAATTAAAGCACCTGCAGCTCTTGTGCTTTAGCATCCCTGCACTTCAAGGTGGCTGTGGGGGCACTTTAATGAAAGCTTGTTTGAGGAGCTTTTGTTAAAGTGCCCCCAGCTGCCGTTCTGAAGCACGGGGACACTGAACACGCAAGACACAGAGGCTGCTGGAGTGCGCTAATAGCACACTCCAGCAGACTCAACAAGGTCTGCTCCGACACGTAATCACAGTGCGTTGGAGCAGCCTCCCCACACATCCCTTGTTGTCTTAACCATTGGAACGGTTCTTTGTAAGCTTCAGGCTGGAAATGCAAACCCCTCCAGGGCAGAGTTTCAGGATGGAATTGTCCAAAATACTTTTCCCATCAAAGTCAAAAAATTTCCCATAACCACAGTGCAAGCCCAGCCAGTGCTTTTGTAAATCTTGCCCATGTCAATAGAAAGCAGTGACATTTTTGACACATGAAGACAATTTGCCTTAAAAAAAATGACAAGTTACTTCGCTTTTTTTGCCTTGAATTGACTAATGACTACGAACTATGCCTTGTGTATGTTTTCTAGTTAAGTTGGCTTTTTTGAGTCTCCTGCTCCAAGCCAGATGCTTGGAGCTGCAAAATTGCAAAGAAGAATGTATTTACACTACAAAGTTGCTGCCACTCTGGCCATATCAGCAGAGCCTCCTAGATGCTGCATATACAGTAGCAGTTTTTCTACTGAATTTGTCTTTACGTCATCTCCCGGTTCCACTATTTCAACTTTATCTTAGAAGAGGCTCTCTTCTCTCAGTTGTGTCCAGACTGGGAGTTTTGCCAGCCTGATTGACATCAATGAGAGGTTGTGATCTTTTCACTTCCCTAGCAGACAACTTTTGTATAGTGTAGACAAGACCCACATTAGCTGTTTTATTTTAAACAGTTTTCACTGGAATTTTTAAATATGTAAAAAATATGCTGTTTTTTGTGATTATGTAAATCTTGTATTTACAATATTTGAAGTATGAAGCCAAAGATGACCTGAAATGACCTGAAAGATGACCACTTAATTATGATGAAGTCATTCATTTTTATACAGGAGTGAGAGAACCATGGTGAAGACTTGAAATTACTTGTACTTAATTTCCATTTTAAAACTGCTCTTTGAAAGTGTTGCACTTCTTTCCCTTTCTATTGCAGCATCTCATCTATCATCAGTTTATTCAAAGACAGTGGCAATAGCAAAAAAGTCAGATGGTGATTAAATGAATAGGGAAAAATTGCTTTCCAGCAGTAAGTAATTTCAAGATAGAAGCCAATTCTCTAGGTAAGGTAATATGAACAGCCGCAGTTTGTTTTAACTGCGTTTTTTACAATCTTGTGTTCAATTTGTTCAAACTACCTTCAAATTTCAGCATGTATTTGTTAAATAGTCTGTCAGATATTTATTCTATAAGAGAAATTTCAGAACATGCAGTTTAATAAAGCATTGATCACTATTTAATAAGCCACAGTATATTTATATTGAGAACAAAATCCTAAAAACCCCCATTTTTTTCTCACTGGTTCTTTAAAATGGAGATGTTTCCAGCATGTACGACCCTTTTTCATTCTCATTTAAACAGAAGCTTATTTTAATATTGTTTCTAAACCTGCTGGTATGTCTCTGCACTTGGCTTTCAGTTCTGTGGTTGTTTATTGAAGGCATCGAAGTGTGAGATACCTGTTGACCCATTTATTTGTCTCTTGACTGATTATGATTGGGTTGGTGGAATGGATAAATCAAGTTGGTGGTTACTGTTGCATGCTTTATTTACAGCAGGTAAGTTATTGGACTAAAACAACCTGTCCTGACACTAGACTGATAACCTGAACATTACATGTTTTCTAGTGTCCTTTGTTACTGGACCGTTTTTTTTTAAATACAGATGCAAGAATTGTTGAAATCATATCACTGAGCTTTCACTAAAGGGACTTCATCAGAACTGTTTACCACTACTAACATTTTTTATTATGGTCTTTTTAGGAAGAATATAAGAGTTGAAGGAAGAATTTGCCTTCTATGTTTTGTCTTGTTGAGTTTCTTCAGTGGAAACAATATGCCATCAGGAAGGCTTGAGTGAGTGATTCTCTTCCAGAGCTCACCAGTACTTCCAGCGCTTGCTGAATATTCATTAGAGGCCAGGAGTAAATTGTGCAAGCCCACTTGTTTTCTGTCCTAATGAGCTTTCTACTGTCTAAATAGACGGCAGGAAGAAAAGGATAGGAACAGGAATGAAGCGAGTCCAAGGATCACAGACTAAGTCAATGGCAGAGCAAGGAATTGGGCCCCAGGTCTCCCCAGGCAAATGCCCTGTCCACAGGACACTGCCTCTGTCCTCTCTTTGGCATGACTTATTTCAAAACAAATGATGGGGGATCATTGTCTTCTCTGCAGATCCAAGCATCGCATGGATCCTTCCCACCCCACTCTGCAAAGACAAGCTGAGAGAGCTCCACTGGGTCTGTGTAGAGCAGGAGGGCAGCATCTGCCCCATGCCATCTACATAACATGACTGTGTGTATTTTTTTTAATTATCTTCCGCGTGTAACAAATGTGTGGAGGAAGGCAAGGAAATGGAAGGTGTGCCTGATACCTACATAAAAACATGAATTGGTGAAGGACTCCAAAAATATGATAATGAGTTTGGGTATGTACCAAGAAAAAGTGATAACTTCTCTGCTGTTTTATGTAAAACATGCTTCCAGGCAGGGAATGTTTTCTAATGCAACAAAAATGTGTTTGATCCTAAGTTGCTACTGTCTGCTGGATGAATAAAGGGAATCCGCATATGCCTGATTTCTAAACATAAAGCTCTTTTATCTCTCAAGCAGCTTCCTCTAAATAAACCAAAGACACTTGGCCTCGGAGATAACTGAGCCAAGAGCGTACGTGAAGCTTTTAAAATATCCCACTTCTGTGACGTGAGAGTGTACCGTGAGCATTGGATAGCCCCCAGGTAGCTGAAATCACTTCTGGACTGAGAACGTCTGGGGAATTTTAGTCGATGGCGATTTGGGGGTGGGGGAGGGAGGAGGAGGAAGGGAATATAAGCCATTGAAAATCCAGCCTGTCAATCAGTTTCCTCTCAACTGCTCTGGTTTTGTTAGTGCTCACAGTAGGTTGGATCCTCATTTGTTGCGTAATTTCAGAGGGCTTAATGGAGCCATGGCCATTTACTCCATTAATCATCATTTGTTTTAGTGTAGTATCTACATGCCCCAACCAACACCGGGGCTCTTGTGGATTAGATGCTGCACGTAGTGAATGAGAGTCTCCATGCCAGCGATCCTGTAGTCTAAATAGAGAAGATTGAGAGGCAAAGTGACTTTCCAAGTTCTCATGGCATGCTGGTGACAGACATCTCCTGATTCCCTATCCAGGGCCTTCTCTATTGGATCTCAGCAGCTCATTTGTTTACGTACAATATAATGTTCATTTGTATGGGTATGGGAATACACCTTTGCTTTTGTCATAGCTGATAATTTAAGTAGTTTCCAGCGACTGGAAACCCAAAGGTACAAT